TTCCATGATGATATTCAACCACGTAGTAACGGCTACATCCATTAATTTATCATCATCAATAAACAATATTCAGCAGCATTTTTCAGTATCCTTCATTCATAAACTATCTGAAACTTCAAGTAACAAATCATTTTCTTCAGATTTTGACTTTTTAGGATCATACATCTTGAAATTGAATTTTAACATTTTTGCGGACGGTTGAAATGTTGTGCTGGATCCACCATTCCATTGCAGCGTGAATCAAACCATAATCATATTTAGTAACATTCCAATCGACATTCTGTTACGCAACTCATTCTTAACAATTTCATATACCTATAAAAAAGGCACATTCAACACTTGCATTTTAAATCGGTACCGTGACGAATGCCAGTCCAAATTTTGAGATATTTTCGAACCGAATATAGCCAGCTACATCAACATCATTGTAAACCTCCTAATTAAAATCCACTGAACTAGATATATTTGTCCACTGTTTGTTAATTAATTGATGCCACTTAGACTCGACATCATTTTTGTTACCATATATAGATGTGAGTTCGTTGTATATGGCTCAATACTGGTTTGATGTCCGGTTTAATCTGCGATGTAGCAATTTTCGGATGTGAATCAGACATTATTTTCAACATGGATAAATTTTCTGGGAGCCTTTGTTGAACTTGCTCTACCAAGCAGCAAAGAAAGTTTTTGCATCTTTCTCTAACATCCGACAAATCACTGACTGAAAGCTCTTGAGATATATTTTACGAATCAGTGGACTGTTGTTCAGAAAATCTTACGAAGAAAATTGGATTAGATAATTTAGGAATCATTTGCTACATGAATAGCATTTTGCAAGTGTTGTTCATGACAAATTCAAGTCGCCACCTTGAAGTTGGAGATTGACATCATTAAATAATTTATACAGGTCTGTCAAGTACGCAATATCATTCTTTGAAGGGATGAGGTTGTCGTGCAATTCTTTGTCTTTGTTTTCCAAGAACTCTATTACAGAGTCAAATAGATTGTAAAATTGAGTCAGACAGTTACTCTTGATAACCAACGCACTTCTGTGTGAAATAGCAATCGATTGAAATCTTCATCATTAGCAACATAAATCTGAATGAATAATCTGTCATTTGAAGAGCTGTTTCGAATTTTATTGACTGCTTTGATGATATAACCAAATGTTGTCTATGAATGACGCAATGTATAGCGAGCAGCGGGCGGGCCTGGTACTTTCGAGAATGGAGACTAGAAACTTCTCTCTTCGCATTGAAGCTTACCGCCATCTATTGTACAGTTTGACAACTATCGGACAGGAAATAGTTACTGTCTAGTCCCCTAGATGGCGTTACACGAGGAAACACGCGTTAAGCGTAAAGAAGCCGTTAAGTTTGTGTTGAAAGCAAAAAAATATTTTTATATTAGCCATCACCTCCCTAAATCGCTTCAACGCCCCCAACTTTCTCTGTGCCCTTTACTGCCTCCCTGGAGGCCTCCAGAGCCCACAAGGGGGCGTTATCGCCCACTTTGAGAAAGACTACTCTACTCTACAGTTGCAACTGATTATGTTGAATGATAAGGTCGAGTAGACTACGGAGTAATATACTTTCAGGAGAGACGATTCATGAAGAGATTTTTTTAGTGTAAGAAAGGCAAAGCAGCTTTTTTTTGAGTTTGTTACATGTATTATTTACTTTTTCAATCCTCGTTATGTATGTTATTATCGAGATGTTTGCCTAAGAATTTTGTTGAGCTTGATATTTCATGTTGATTGATATCTATATTCAGAATGACCAGGTTTGGTTTATTACTGCGTGCACTGTTAAATTGAATGAACATAGTTTTTTGTAGGTTCACCACAAGGTGGTTTGTGGTACACCATTCATAGACTTAGATCCCTATACAGGGCTTTTCATGATGAGCGGTAATTAGCCGTTTCTGGCAAACTATTCAACGGATCAACCTGAAAATTCCACAGTATGCATAAGTCAATATGACCTACACGCCTAAAATATTT